TCAAAGCTTTACCGCTGCCTACCAATAAAAGATTAGTACTTAACAAGGTTGCTGAAAATGTCGGTCTTAAAATTGATGCAACATGTTTGTTTAAAAAACGCAAGGTTTGTGGAAGGTTTGGAAGACAATATTGAAAAACTAGTAAAAGACTTTTACTTTCAACCAGACATTGTTTACACTATGGCAGGCATGTCAAATACAATAACTGTTTGGAAAAATGGAAGAAAGGAAACTTTGAGGAAGTATTACTTGACTATGTTCCTCTGTGAGGCATATACATTATTTTTTGAGAACAATGAAATAATTAAAATTTGTTTTCCAAATTTTGTGCTCTATATAATACTCTATAATATACTGCTTTTAAATGCTCTATAATATACTGCTTTTAAAAAATACACCAGCTGATCAGTGTAAATGAGTGATTCATGATTTGGTATGAATAGATTAATGAGTACTTCAAACGTGACAACATTGCTGAATCCAAGAAGCAACTGCGCAAAATTCAGTAGCAGGGTACTGTTAGAGAACTTATTGGTGTCATTCGGAAAGGTTTTGAAAAGGTTGTAAAGCATGTGCAGGTGAAAAGAATCCAAGCTAAAGAATTTTCTGAAGACAAAACAAAATGTACCTCCAGAATCCTGCAAATAGATTTTGCAATGTCATATTTATGCAAATATCAATCTGAAATCCTGTCAGCTATGTGGAGCAGATCTAGCGTTACTCTTTTTACAGCAGCTACGTTTGCAAGGGGTACACAACAAGGTTTTATTATTTGCTCTGATACTCTGAAGAAAATCAAGGATACTATTTTTGCATTTCTTTTTAAAGTATACAATTGTATTATGAAATTGCCTGATTCAAATTGTTACGATGAAAAAACCAATTGGTCAGATGGACCATTGTCTGAATTTAAAAATAAATATATCTTACATTTGTTGCAACTTCTGGTCTGTTGATATCACAAAAATTTTTGGTGGAAGATTTCGTCACTTCCACCAAAAACTTCCATGGAAAGGGGGTAATTGACGCAATTGATGGGAAAGCAAAATATCTCAAAAAAATTATGTTAAAGGGAGCTAACACCATTGTTCAATCATCTAAAAATTTTGCTGAATTGGCAACCATGTTAATACCTAAAACAATAATTTTTCATGTTCAGCAAGAAGAGATTTATAAGCTAACCAGCAAATTCAGCTCATGGAGTAATGTAAAAGATGTTGAAGGCATAAAAACAATTCATTGTGTCACAGCAAATCAACGCAGCAAAATCATGCTGCGGGAAACAGGACAAAATAAAGTGCACCATTTTACTTTTAGATTACTTATGTCAAATAGATGAAAATGGTCACAGTTCAATTTTGACGCTTTCTGTGGGTGATTAGTGTGTCGTTAATTACAATGCATCAGAATTTCCTGGACAAGTAAAAGAAGTTATTTCAAATCAAGTTTTAGTATCCACAGTTGAAAAACATTTGGTTTGGGAATTCATGGGTTTGGCCAACTAAACCTGATGTGATGCTTTACGATAAAATTCAAGTTCTTAGAAAAATTGATCCCCTGTCATTTGCTGGTTCAAAAACCTGAACATATATGGAGTTTCACTCCACAGACATTTAAATTTTTATTACCATGAACGTCTAAACTCTTTAACTACTCATATTTCGCATGCTTGCATTTGTAATCACTACGCTTTTGCTATTATAATTGTGAAATGATTGCTTTTATCAATTGTTTAGCACGCGGCAACGCATTTAACAAGACTGGTAACACACGTAACAATGACAAATTATTAACTTAATTTGCAATTAAAATCTTTTCTCCAAATCCACTTTATGGTTTTGTTAAGCGGCATCTTTAATAACAAGTTGCACATTTCGGTTTTTCAATATGCAACCAATTCACAGATAAGCCTTGTCAAAATTTACTTGTTAAAATTTTAGATGTGTACAAATAACGTATGTAACAATTTTTGATTTATAATTTGAGATAAGAAATGTTCAACTTTTTAAAACAAGTTTTTGAATATTTTTTGTTGTGCGGTTTAAATAATATTTTGCGATAAATTGCAATTTCACAAAGCATTATGCTGAAGTATGAACCACCTGTTTATGAGTTTAACTATTGTTCAAAAGTAACTCACATAACAATGGAATCAGTCCTATTTAAATGTTAAAGCATTTAAAAAAAAAAAGAAGAAGAAGTAATGTAATAAAGAAACACATTGAGATCTTCAGCTTTCAAACTAAAATGAAAAATGTCTAAAGGTTTATAGAATCTTTTAAAATTGTCAGTAAAATCATTGTGATTAATTATGATGATGCAAACCCTTTCAAATATGATAATGAATCAAATCAATATAATTAATTATGATCAAGTATGATAATTAAATAACTTTTTATGATAAGTTGTGATAATGATTCAAATGATTGTGATATTTTATAATGATGTAGATTTAATTAAAAAGTAATATTTTACACCTATATATTTTTTTTTGAACTAAGTTGTTAAATTCAAAGTGAAAAAAATTTGATAACCTTAGCGATAACAAATTAGACAACTTAAGTCTCGAAAAAATTTAATGTTTAATACCACAGTAATAACTAAAAGCTACTATAACTAAAGTATTATAAATACATCAATAACAAGTAAAAACATATTTCAAACCTGAAATATCTGAAAACAGAGTAATAACTAAAAACATAAACAAAAATATCATTTATACCTGAAATATCAGATATCTCAGTAATTCCAAACTTTCCTAAATCACCCTGAAGCTTTAAACCAGTAAATGTGTGAGCCATTGTCCAAAATCTAAATTATATTTTGTATATATGTGTTAAATATATGGGTATATACATGTATATATATATATATATATATATATATATATATATAATATATATATATATATATATATATATATGTATATATATATATATATATATACATATATATATATATATATATATATATATATATATATATATATATACATATATATATATATATATATTATATATATATATATATATATATATATATATATATATATATATATACATATATGTATATATATATATATATATATATATATATATATATATATATATATATATATATATATATATATATATATATGTATACATATATATATATATATATATATATATATATATATATATATATATATATATATATATATATATATATATTATTTGCATTCACTCCCAACAAGGCTGCAAGCAACCACTATTAAGTTGGGAGTTACTAGCAAAAAAAAGAACAGAGTTATAGAGCAAGGAAACGGTTGACAGAAGACTTGAAAAGTTGAAGGTTGTATGAGTCAGGAAAACATGACGATGGGAGAGAGTTCCAAAGGATTGAAGTGCATGGAAAAAAACTAGATGAATAAAAGTTTTTAGAGCATGCAGGGACAGATACAGTAAACGAATGAGACTTAGCTGAATGACAAGTAAAGCGAGAATGAATTTTAGTTGATGGAACTAGAGATGATAACTCCTTTGAGCAGTGACCATGATAGTATTTGTAGAAAAGAGAAAGAGATGCAACTTTACGACGATGGAAAAGAGGTTCAAGCTTAGCAGATAGTCCAGATCCAACAACATTTACAATGCCTTTTTGGACCTTGTCAAGAAGAGAAAGTGAATCGTTAGAAGAACCAGCCCAAATATGACAACAGTATTCCATACAGGGACGAATAAGAGATTTGTAGAGGTTGAGAATGGAATCAGAAGTAAGGAAATGGCGAGCATGATAAAGTACAGCAACCTTAGCAGAAGCTAATTTAGCAATCGATTGTATATATGGTTTCCATGAAAGGTCAGTAGTAAGCAATAATCCAAGAAGACGTAAAGAGGACGACTCAGTAAGAGGATTGCCATTCATTAATATAGGAATGTTGACCATATTACGGTAGTTGTTTGCAGTAAGCAACTGGGTTTTTTTAGAGTTGAAATTCACAAGCCACTGTGAACCCCAATCTATTACTGAAGTGAGATCGGATTCAAGATCAGCTGCTTGTTCTAAGCGATCGAAAAGAAAAGACTTTAATTTTTTTTTAATTTTAATTTTAATTCACCTCCTCAAGGCCGAGAAGGCCACTACAGACGAGGAGGCTACTTATTTGTGGCTATAACCCTCTCTCAACTCTATAACTCCGAAACACGAACCTTGACGAACAAAGCCGCTGCGCGGAGAAACGAGTTGAGCGCGGTACTACCAGGGACGTGGTGGGGATCGAGAAGGAAGAGAATGTCCATAAGATTCAAGAGTGGAATTAGAAGAAAAGTTCTTTGCAAATAGTTCTGCCTTATCCTTGGGAGAGATAATAAGATCAGTCCCATGAATGAGAGATGAAATGTTAGATCTACCCTTGTTAATAATGCTGTTGAAGATTTTCCAAAAGTCTTTAGAGCCTAACTTCTGCGATAAGATGTGAGATTTAGTGAACTGAGAATAATGGAGTTTAGCATCAGAAAGCACCTTTTTACATCGATTTCTTGCAATAATAAATAGCCGTTTGTTCTCAAGAGAGTTGTTCTTTTGAAAAAGATGAAAAAAATGATTACGATTGGATATAGCAGCCGCACAAGAAGGAGAAAACCATGGAGTAGAATGAGGCTTGACTTGAAACCGACACGAAGGAATAAAAGCTTCCATTCCAGCCTGAATCCAGGAGGTTACGTAGAAGGCGCATTTTTCAGCTGAGAGAGAAAAAACATCAGCCCAAGGACCATCACGAAGATAATCACAAAAGGAATCCCAGTCAGCTTTAGGGTAGTAGTAGGTGGTGCGATGATAAGGTAAGCCCAAAAAAGAAGTTCAAGAAGAAAGATTTATAGAGATCATTGCATGGTCAGAACCACCTAAGGGAGAAAAGGGAGAAACTGAACATAAGCTAGGGTCAGAGACAAGACATAAGTCAAGGAGTGAAGGTAAATGATTAGGCTTGTCAGGAAAACGAGTCACAAAGTTAACTATCTGAGTAAGAGATTGAGAAACGCAGAAGTTAAAGGCTTTAGTGCCAGCAGGATCAGTGGTGTTAGAGCCAAGCCATTCAGTTTGATGGGCATTAAAATCACCAACAACAACAATATTGGCAGAGGGGTAAAGAGAGAGGACATGGTCAATTTGATCAGAGATAACATCTAAAAGAGTGCAATCATGGGAAGAAGGAGAACAATAAAGAACAAAGAGAAAGGTGATAGAGTGAAGAGATGCTAGGCGAAAGCACATAAAAGAATGGTCAAAGGATTCGAACCTGATTTCATGACAAATAGAGGAATTAATGCTTATGTATACCCCTAAACCTAGCATGTGACTATTTGAGTCTTTACGAATCAAAGGATAGTACCCATCAACACTGACATCTGAAGAAGAAATTGCAGAACTTAAATTTGTTTCGCTGAGTGCAAGCAAGTCTGGTGAATTTTGCAGGAGGTAAGACTCAACTGATGGAAAGTTGCTTCTTAGACCGCGAATATTTGTAAAAGATATATTAAAATATTTAGGTGGTGGGGATGGTTTTTTAGGTTTTAAATTTTTGGTTACTTTGGTCATGATTTGGGTTTAATGAGAACTTGACTCATTCATAGATAGAGCACAGCCTCCTAATCAATGAGCTATGCAGTTGTCTCAGTCCTGTTAATTAACCCTAAGCCGTGACATAGGGCTCCTTATGTGGTCTTGACAATGCACACCAAAAGCATTAACAGGGACACCATCCATGCGCAACATGGCACTGTTAATACTCTGATATTTTGCAGCTGTTGATGGAATCAGCCTCTCTGAGAGCTACCACAGAGTTTGGGAAACCTTACTACCAGCCAGCCTAAGAACCATTAAACTGAGTTTTAGAGATGTACCCTCATATGGAGAAAACAGGAAGAGTTGCATAGCCATTATCAAGGAGGCATAATCAAAATTCTATGAGTAGAGTCAAGGAGATCCAGCATTCATCATCCTAGGCAGGAAACAATGTAACACAGGTTACATCTACGCCAGCCTAATAGATGAAGAAGGGGTTCGAGGCTGGTTAGCAGAATTTTTCTGCTTACCCCTAAAGTCTTTGCCTAGGAGGCCTTCTACAAGACAGTAGCTGGATGCAGTTAACACCTGTCCAAGTTGAGTATTTTTATCGAGACACCATCTCTAGTCTTTACTCAACCAAGAGCCCCAAGGCAGGGGAACTTTTAGTCGGAGTTTATTTTTCCTAGCCTTTGCATTAGAAGAGCACACTCTGCAAGGCAGCAGGGCTTGTGGCAGGTGGTACTGGGTTACGTGATACCAGTAGCAAGATTGATCTCGATTATCCTGACCTGACCTGGAGTAGTTAAAAGGAGTTACTTCCCGCAACAGTACTTTGAGAAAACCAGGCATGACATTTTGGAAGTGCATTAGGAAAAACATTACATCTAACAAAATACAGGAGTCTAAGGTGAGTGTAGGTTTTGTAGTTGGAGTAAGTAGTTAGTTACTGAGCTCACGCTGCATTAAAGTATAAACAGAACACAAACAAACATAAATCAACTTACGGGTGAGTCAACACCGCGCCAGAGGTTCAGACAGAACACAAACATACATAAAAAACATAAAGTAACTTACGGGTGAGCGAACACCGCGCCAGAGGTTCAGACAGAACACAAACATACATATAACGTAGATTACAGGTGAGCTAATACAGTAACTAAGACACCTCCAACTATATGAAAAAAAAAAAAAAAAAAAAATTACTATAGGCATGACTGATATAAGATAGTACTGATGACAGGAAGAACACTCCTTCCAGCCTTTGCTTAGAAAGCAAATCCTGCAAGGCAGCAGAACATGGAGCAGGTTGCACTGGGTTACATGTTACCAGTAGCAGGATGATCATGAAGACCATACTCCTGACCTGAACTCCTGAACTGTTTAGTAATATATACATATATATATATATATATATATATATATATATATATGTATATATACATATATATATATATATATATATATATATATATATATATATATATATATATATATATATATATATATATATATATATATATACTATATATATATATATATATATATATATATATTTATATGTATATATATATATATATATATATATATATATATATATATATATATATATATATATATATATATATATATATATATATATATATATATATATATGTATATATATATATATATATATATATATATATATATATATATATATATATATATATATATAATATATATATATATATATAAATTTATTTATATTTAATAAATATATAAAAATAACTAAATATTTACTTAATGTGACCAACACCACTAGTACAAAGACGACCTTCATCTTCCAAAGAAAATGCTACTCTAAATATATCTTGAGCAAAAGCTTTAGATCGAAGGATAGTAACTTCCTATAAAAAAATTTAAAAACGTGAAACAAAAACACTAACTTTGTATTTGATCATGTAATTTACACATTTTGTTTTGACATAACAACTGATAATATATATGAAAAGAAGAACTTTAAAATTAAAAATAGGGAAAAAAATAAAAATATGATTAGAATTTATTATAAACATTTGAGTAAAACTTTTACTATTTAATAATTTATGTAAACCATTCCAAGTTATTTTAAAAATAAATTTTATTATTTTATTATTTTTTATTTCTAAGATTTTAAGTTTTATCATAATACTCTGTTTTAATTTTACTAATTTTATTTTAAACTATTTATTTTTGTATTAAAATTCTTGATAGTATTCTTAAAAGATCAATACATAATATAAAACAAGTAAAGCAGAAGTTTGATTAAAATTTATATTGGAGAAAAAATATCCATTTAAAATGAAATCCTAGTTGTTTGTCTGCTAAAGAAAAATGATTTGTGTATTTTTTCTATATGCATTGAAGTTTACTTAAACATAACTTAAAAATACTTGCTCAAAATTATTGATGAAATGTTTTTTTTTTTGTTTGTTTGTTTGTTTTTTAAATTAAATTAAAAAAAAATCAGTCTTGTGTGATTTACAATTCAGCCAAATCACACCCTAAAGATACAGTATCTTTAGGCAAATCATTTATTCATTAGGTTTTTTTCCTCAAGAATCAGATTATTTTCTAAATAATTTAATACTGTTAATAACTTAATTTATGATTGGATTTTGGTACCAACTTTTGCTTATGAAAATTTTGCATTTTAAGTGAAAAGAGTTTTATAAGATTTTAAAACTACTACCTTGAAAAAGTTGAAATTGATAATAACAATAATATAATAATATATCAATGCTGAAACAGAGATAATGTAATCACTAGGTTATTGCAGCCGTTACTATAAACATAACCATACAAACAAAGCCAAACAAAAAAAATTATTGTTTTTAAAAAAAAAATTTGCTGCAAGGTTAATTCTAAAAAAATTAAGTACCTCTCTCCAATCCCATATAGTCAACATGTAATCAGGAGCACTTCCAACTGATGCTAACAATTTTCCACTGACTGAAAAATCAAGGTTAGTATATGCCATCGTAGTTCCCTCGCGTAAAACTTTGTAACATTTTAAAGTGGGATAATTATAAATAAAAATTGAGGGATTATATCCTTTTTCTCCAACAGCAAAGTATTCTCTACTAGGATGCACCTGTAAAACAAAATTACCATTACCATTACCATTAATATCATTAACATTACCATTGTGAAACAATAATTTGTTATACTTTTATTGCACCTATGCCACCACCACCAACACTGTAAAGCTGTTGTTGCTCCCGATTTTTAAGGTCTATTACTTGACACACATTTCCAGAGATGAACAAAATATGTTTAGAGGAAAGTACCTCCAAATTACAGCGCTTTTTGCATTCATACCCAAATGAATGACTTTATTAATAAAAAAAATTAAGGAAAATAATTTATTTGCTTTTAAAATTAAACTACTTTATTATTATAAAAATTATTAATAAAAAAACAATTATTAACTTTGCTAAAATTCTAAAATAATGTCTATCCTAATCCAAAAAAGAAAAATATGATTGTTTATTTTATCATGCTTCTTATTTTCTAAGTTAACCTCACTTTCATGCAAATATTTTATAACTTTTTTTATTTGATTTACTTAGTTTACACCATTTGATTTTTTTTTACTTGATTTACTTTTATGTCCTTTAAAGTTATACCAAGTACCTATTTGATGATCATTTTTCAATATGTCAGAAAGTCTTTCTTTAACTTGTTTTTAATAAATATTGCATGAAGCTAATCTGTCTGTTGTTAACAAATACATTGAAACATTTAATTTCAAGAGATCTTTCTTAAGGTCTTTATCTTTTATCTTATGACAAAGCAAAATTTGCAAAATTTGCATTTACTATACATTAAACAAAAAATTATTCATCAACAACACCAAATTGTTTAAATCAATACTTGATAAATATTTTATCTTTTGAATTACATTTAAAAATTTGTCAGACCTAGTTGGTTTTGCAAGACTAATTTTAATTTCCTCTTTAAATATCAGTGTCAATTGCTATAATACTTTGATCCACAAAGACTCCAACAGAAACAAGCTTGACCTAGGCATCTACTCAGTTATAAATTAAGTAATTTATCATGAAATCTAGTTTGAAAACTTTGAAAATTCTTTAATATGCTTTTGTTTAACATTTTAACACCTTTTTCTTCTTTGCTTTTTGTTTGTTTTTTTTACTTTATTGTTTCCTCTATTTCTTCTCATTTCAATGTAGTTTCAGATCAAACTGATCGAAATCAAACTGATACTTTTTTATCTATCTGTGAGTATTATTATTTTAAGTGACTTAAATTTGACAAATGTCCATCTTACTAAATGACAAATGCTCATTTTGCTGAATGACAAATGCTCATCTTACTGAATGATAGTGAACTTTCTGGTATTAAAGCTCAAAACATTTGCAAGGTTCAGCTTCTTCTCATTTTATGCAAAAAGATGTTGTCTAAGATTGAGACCCATCACTTTTAGACAACTAAATCTTGTACCAATATCTCAGAAGTCTAGGCTGACAAACAGGGTAATGCATTGTTAAGTATTTTATTACATTGTAAACTATTCTAATCTATTGTTAAATATTCTAATCCATTGTTAAATAATCTAATCTATTTTTAAATATCACTCTATTAATATATGGCTATTGTTCACTCTATTAATGTATTCAAGCTATTTTTCACTTTTCTACAGCTTGTGGTTCACATTCCTATTGCAATACTCCAAAAGTGTTCTTTTCATTCTACTGCAAGTTTATTATACCATATTAACAGAACAGTATTACTTGGAGTTAGATAAATAGGTTAACGCAAAAATGTTGTTGTACTGAAATATGAAAGGCAATAAGAAAGCTAAGCTAATAAGAAAGATTATAAAATAATTAAATATATTTATTGTTGTTTTTAAATGAGACTTCTACTTATCTCATTTAGATATACTTCTAGGAAACTATATACCCAATCCATTACAAAAATAGCATAGGCTATGATTTCTTCTTTTTATCTTCTCTCTTTCTGTTTACCATTTTCATTAATCAGAATTTATATAATATTTTATCAAGCCTAGTTAACCTTAATTTTGTTGTATTATTTATATTTGATCTAATGATATTAATCACTGCTGCTAACACATGTTAAAAACTGTATTTGCTGAAATGCTCATCCAGCATAAATATTTGTTTTAAAAGCATTTCTTTCTCGTTTCTACTAACGCTAACATTTAGATTAAGGGCCTATCCTATAAAGCGAATTTACAATGTAAATTTCTACAATGTAGCTACATTGTATACATTGTAAAGTTACACGGTCCTATAAAAAATTTACGGCGTAAAGTTATATAATAATGTAAGCTACAATTTTACACTGCCCGAAAGGTGTGTAAATTCGTAATTCATATTGAGTTTTATCAAGTTAGAAACAATTATGTCAAAGATATTAAAAATAAATAAATAACTGAGAAGAATTATTATGTTATATTAGGTTTACTTATTTTAAACAAATATGTGAAAATTTAATTTAAAGCCATTTTAAAAGCAAAATGGTTTTTTAAACTGCAAACTATATTAAACATTTTGCTGATAGAGTTGCTAAGAGTATATAAATACATTGTTTTTAAATCTTAAACAATTTTGAGATTTTAAAGTTCTTTAGTGTTTGTTAATAAATACTTTACTATTTAATAACGAATACTATTTGAAAATACATTAGAGAGATGCACATCTCTCTAAAGTATTTACAAATACTATTCGTTATTATATTAATATTAAATAATATTAATAGTAGATTATTATATTATTTATATTAATAGAAAGTATTATTTTAATTAGTAGTAAATATTTAATAATATTAAATAGTAAAGTAATATGCATTACCAAACATATACTAAAAAAATATCACATTTTATAATCATATGTTTTCTTCTTAGCAAAACTACAGAGTGCATGTTGTTTCTATTACTATTCTTTAGTTTCTTTTCTATACTTTATCTGTTGATTCTAGTTCAGGAATCTTGTCAGTGCAAAAGAGATCTGAGTCAAGCTATATTTCTTGTTTGATTCTTTATTTGACAAAAAATAAAAGGCTAATAAATATATATATATATATATTATATATATATATATATATATATATATATATATATATATATATATATATATATATATATATATATATATATATATATATATATATATATATAATATATATATATATATATATATATATATATATATATATATATATATATAATATTTGTTTAACATTCTGAAAAATAGTTTCAGGAACGCAAGTTTCAAGACAATATCTCTGATGCTGTCTTTCGTGAACGGTATAGAGTGCCGCTTGCAGTTTTGGATATATATAAAATAAATAAAATTTTTTTTACATTTTTTGGTAAATGTTATTACAACTTAATGATGGCATTGTTTTCATAGTTTAAATTTTTATACTGGTTATGTAAATTTCAAGGTGTTTATATAAATTCAATTTAATATATCTGGAATGGCTGCTAAGAATCTTAAAGTACCAGCTTTTATTTTTCTTCTGTATAACTGGTTTTTATGTAGTATTCTTAGTTTTGTCTGGATATAATTAGTCTGGATATAATTAAACTCTAGGCTAGAGGCTGGATTATAAGGCATAAAAATGCAAGAGCTTGATGAATTTGCGTCTTGCTCATTTGAGATTTCTATAAATTATAGAGTGTTTTTACTTAAAACGAAAACACTTCAAATTTTAATTTTACACAGATGTTGCATTTATCAACCACAGTACCACTTTACATCTACTTTGTAATTTTTATTTAGAATTTTTATCAACAACTGTTATAACTGATTCAAATAACTACTAAAAATATCTAAGAAAAAATAAATTGATTTTTAAATATGATACAAAACTACCTGGGTCTGGGATATCCACAAAGTTATTTGAAGAAATGTTTTTAGTTAGAATGGCATCACCGGCGAGGTTTTTGGTCAAAACCTTTTTTCCAACTCTCATGTCATCAACTTTGACTGGGAGAATATGTGCTGATTCTTTTCCTATGATGTCCATCACAGTGCATTCATAGTCAGATAGTTGGCCACCTTCAGCACCAGATTTGTTGAGTTTTTTAAACTTATCTATCGTTGATCTCCTCAGGTTTTGCCACTCAGTTGTCCGAATATGTTCAATTGAAACAGTAGAAGAAAGACCGTGAGCTACAAGAAAATTTTTTACTTCTTGCCATTTTTCTTTTCGGTCTTGATTGCTGCAAGACGGAGAGAGTGAACCGATCATTTTCTCTTTGTTTTGTAAAATGAAGTTAGCCATAATATTTTTTGTTCTTTTGTTAGCATTTCCATAAAAATTAGTTTTCTTATTAAAATTTTTATTTGTTTTCACTTAATTATTTTATTGAAAACAATCTCCTTTATATAGGATTATAAAATTATTAAATTATACAAAAGTTGCCAAGAATTTATGCCACAAGAAAGTAAAGCTAAAATTAAAAGGTAAAGTATAATTAATGTTTCAACCATACAGAGCCCGTTTGTAAATTGAAACATCATCCAATTCATTTCCATCCACTAACTTTGCTGGTATTGTCTTATTGTTTATCTTAAGGCTTTTATCTTATTCATCTGTAGGCTAACAGGAAATTTAGTTTTCGAAAAAACCGAATCATTTAAATGTTTTTATCATTGCAGAAATGATGTAAACAATTTTCAAAATTCATTTTAAAAACACGTCCATTAACTTTTTAAATAACTTTCCTACTTTAGTTGAGTGATATCTTGTTTTAAAGTTACCGTTCAAAATTAATTTAGCGCGTAATTACAAACTGCTTTTGCGAGATCTATTTTTAGATTTTACTTAGAAACGCCAATTACATAAAAACGTCATTGTTTTATAGGACGCCTTAAATTTTACAATGTAACTACAAAATTTCGGTGAAATTACATTGTAAAGTTTACAATATTGTAAAAGTTTTATAGGATAGGGCCTAAGTTTGTGGATATTATTATAAAAGTGACCATACAACTGAATAACATTGATATTAACAGTAGTAAAATAAATTAAGTTTATTATATAATGTAAAGTAGATGCTGCTATATAATTTTTATCTTATGAAACTGTATATTCTTACACCAGCTGAAACTTCATCTTAGTTTTTTTATTAATTGGTCTAAAAAAATAAGATTATATAAAAAGAATTAAAAGATACTACAAAGTTAGAAGATTGCTTGACTTTTTATCATCATTTTCTTGATGCATTACTAAAAAAAAATATTTAGCTAATCAACCATTTTACTTTTAAAAGCATACACTAGTTATGTACATTTTAAAACCAAATTGTAAACACTTACTGACATTAACACTTCAAAGTTTATAAACCACTTATTACTAAGAATTTAAAAACATGTATAATACAAACATATTTTAACTAACAAACTATTGTAATCAAATATAAAATAAAAATAGCTAAATTATAAATATAAAATAAAAATCACCTAAAACTAAATTTGCTTCTTTGTTGATTTAAAAACTTTTAAACTGTAACAAACTATACTGACCTAAATATTAAATTAATTTTTTATATTAATCAACTCAAATAAATTTAAACCATTTGTAACTTAAAAATTTAAACATATACAGTTAGAGAAATAAGTATGGAAAATAAACTGTCAGGTTATTTCAGAAAAAAATAACTTTATAAAAATAAAAATTAATGATTATTCTGAAAGAAAATTTAATCACAAATTCAATATGCAAAAAAAAAAAAATATCAATAATAGTATTTAATCGATAAAAAATTAAGATATTTAAACTATGCAATTTTTTAGCATTAATTAAGTATCTGAACAAAATTTTAAAGATTAAGGCTTAAAGATTAACGTTTCTCCAAGTAATTATTTTTATGACTTTTTAATATCGAGTTGGACTGCCTTTAGCTTTTATAACTTCTGCAAATCGAAATGGCATCAATTCAACTAATTTCTTTGTCTTATCTGAGTCAATATCAGCCCAAGCGTTTTGGAGCATGATCTTTAGCTCTTCTTTTCTTTTTAGACATGTGTTACAGTTTATTCCAGAATAGCCAAGAGATGTTCAATTGGATTGAGATCTGGACTTTGCACTGGCCATTTAAGTAACTCAATTTACTTCTGGATAAAAAACTCTTTTGCTTTCTTTGACGTATGTTTAGGGTCATTGTCTTGTTGGAAGACGTTCCAAGCCATCAATCCCCATACCATAACATTGCCTCGACTAAATTTTACTGTGCCTCAAATACAACTGAGTGTAAATGCTTCACCTTTTTTTCTCCATACTTTTTTAGCTCCATCGGACTTCACAAGATTAAATTTTGACTCATCCGCCCAAAAAACTTTTCTCCAGAATAATACCAACATATATACATATTTTTTAGCTAATGCAAGTCTTCATTTTCGATGGATTTTTGAAAGGAATGGTTTCTTGCATGGAACTCTTGCTTTGAATCCACTTTCTTTCAATTGATTTTGAATAGTTCATGAGCTCACTTGTAACCTAAAATCATTCTCAAAGAGGCTTGACATTTTTAGTGCCAATAAAAAGCGGTTTTTTTGCACCATCATGACAATTTGTCGATCTATTCTTGATGTTGTTTTACACTTAGCTTAGGATCTTGGCTAATTTTGCACATATCCAAACATATTATACTTTTTAATCAGATTCCTTGATTTTAACTACCATACTTGATGATATCAATGGTTAATCAAATGAATTTTAAAAAATTTCAGTTAATTATTGAAAACTAATTGTTGTAAAACAACAATATTTCAAAAACTATTGATTTAAAAACTTTTTTTAATAATCAATTTCAAAATTTCGTTTACAAAACAACATAATTATTTTTCATTGAAGTTTTAACACTCCTTCAGGAACCATTAAATTTTAGCAATTCAAATTAATTATTGTTAATTAATTTTTTGCTATATAAAATTGTAATTAAACTTGCTTTTAGAATAATTATAAAAGTATTTACAAAAACATACGTTTTTCTGAAATAACCTGAAAAAGTTTATTTTTCACAATAAAATGTTTTGTTTGGATACTTTTTTTGGATTTCTCTGACTGTACATTTAAAAGCATATATATATATATATATATATATATATATATATATATATATATATATATATATATATATATATATATATATATATATATATATATACATATATTTATATATATATATATTTATTATATATATATATATATATATATATATATATATATATATATATATATATATATATATATATTTATTATATATATAAAATATATATATATATCAACCCTCGGAATTAGGGTCGGCATTTAGCATGCTGACCTAACTGCTGACCGAAAGGTGTTTGAGGTCGGCAAATATTGCCGCCCTTGTTTCTATGTTTTATGGTAAGACCTTTGTATTAATTTTTTTTTGTCAACCTCTAAAAGATTGAGGTTGGTAAATTATTGCCGAATAATTTTAAATTAAAAAAAAAACAAAATAGAGTGGTCAAGGCTCTTAAAAGAACAGAGCTATAAATTAGTAGAAAATCGTTTGTCAAACTTTTTTTATTTAACATTGTGTTTCATTAATTAAGACTGATCAGAAATAATTTGCTAAGAACCTCTCATCAATAGCATCTCTTGATTCCACTAGTTGCGTTCTACCTGATAGAAATGACAAACAGGTTGATCCATTGCTTGATGTTCCTGTCACTCAAGTTTCTGTATCTAAAATGATTCCTGGTTAGACTCTTCTAAAGCTTGTGGTCCAGACAAAAAACTTGTTATAGTCTCACAAAAGTGTTCTCCGGAACTTTTGTCTATACTTTCAAAACTATTTAACAATTGCTTATCAAAGTCTTGTTTTCCATCCTGCTGGAAAACAGCATCTGTTATCCTTATTTTCAAAAATTCTGGAAAGCCATATTAGTCTTCTTACTATCATAAGCAAGGTTTTTGAGTCATTAGTTAACAAACATTATATCTCTCATCTTGAATCTATTATCTTAATTTCTGATCATCAATATGGTTTTTGGTCTTCTCATTCTACTGCTGATTTGTTAACGGTAAAACCAATAGGCTTTACTGTACATTAGATAGATGTGGAGAGGTTAAGGCTATTGCTCTTAACATTTCTAATGATTTTGATAAAGTTTGGCATACTGGTCTTCTTTGTAAGCTTTCTTCTTGCAGTGTATCATGTAACATCTTTAAGATTATTAAATCCTTCCAATTGTAGTATAAAAGTTGTACTCAATGAACAGCACTCTTCTTCATATCCTGTAACTTCAGGGGTTGCTCAAGATTTGATTCTTAGCCCTATACTCTTTTTAACTTATATTAACAATCTTCCAGAAATTCTCACATCTAATGTGGCATTGTTCGCTAATGATACTCTCATTTATTCTTGTTTTGATAAAAAGCCAACTCTCTCTGATTGCTTGAAGGGGGCATTTAAGCTTGAAAAGAATCTCACATCTGTTCAGCATGGGTCTATCAGTAAACTTTAACTCAGATAAAAATTAATTTTTTTCAGCTAATTATCGCAATAATCTAGATCTTCCAATACATATGAACAGTAATCCACTTGATGAGTTATCTACCCTTCATCTTATAGAATTAACTCTCCCTTCTAATCTTATTTGGAAACCATATATCGAATCGATTGCAAAATTAGCATCTGCTAAGCTTGCACCTCTTTATCGTGCTTGCCTCTTTCTTATTTTGGATTCTATTCTTTATAAATCTCAAATCCATCCTTGTATGGAATACTGTTGCCATATATGATGCAGATCATCAAATGATGACCTTTCTCTTTTCAACAAAGTGCAAAAATGTACTGTAAACATAGTTGGACAATATTTGTCAATATTTGAACTGAGTTGCATATTTCCATAAAACTTGCATATTTCCATAAAATGTATGTTATGTCTACAAGAAAAATTTGAAATAATTACACATGCAAACTAAAAATTTTTATTAAATATGGCATAAAAGTAATTTTCTCTTGAAAAAACTATAAAGTAAGTAAGCTGAAAAAAATATTAAAAATGAATATATTTAATAAATAAATCTTCATATAATGTACATATAAATTAATAAATATACACATATATATATATATATATATATATATATATATATATATATATATATATATATATATATATATATACATATATATATATATATATATATATATATATATATATATATATATATATATATATATATATATATATATATATATATATATATATATATATA